TCTTTTTCAGACACTGAGTAGTCATTATAGAATTTATTTTCTATAAATTCGACATCTCTAGACTCAACTATTGTGTTCGAGTCTAAATTAAGCAACCTATATGCCTTTGAATTTTCTGCATATCTTACAAATATGTTTTTAATTCCTCTTGGACCCAACTTGGATCTCTTAGGATCGAGTGCCTTATAAAAAGCTACACAACCCCATACTTTCAAATATGACAAATTTGGTTTTCTTCCTTTCCAAATTTCATATGGTGACACATGTGTCTTCATAGATGTAATTCTATTGTGTATATGGCATGCAGTAAACAATGCTTCACCCCATAAATATTTTGGAGTATTAGCATTAATCATCATAGAATTAATCATTTCAGTGAGTGTTCTATTTTTTCTTTCTGCCAAACCATTTTGTTGTGGTGTATAGGGTGCAGTTCTTTGATGTACAACATCATGCTCTTCACAAAAAATATCAAATTCATATGAAAAATATTCACCACCTCTATCACTACGAAGGCATTTAATTTTCCTTCCCTTTTGGTTTTCAACTTCAGCCTTATAGCGCTTAAAGCACTCAAAAGCTTCATCTTTATTAGACAATAAATAAACATAAGTAAATTTAGAACAATCATCTATAAATGTGATAAAATATCTTTTTCCTCCTCTTGTTAAAACACCATTAAATTCACATATGTCAGAATGTATTAAGTCTAATAAATTTGTATTTCTTTCGGTAGTTGGAAAAGGTTTCTTAGTCATTTTCGCTTGAATACATGTTTCACATTTATTATTATAATCATCATTGCAAGTAATAAAACCAAGTGTGCGCATGTATTTTAAAGATCTAAAATTTATATGTGCTAAACGTAAATGCCATAAATGAGAGGAAGATTCAACAATATAAACAGAAGAATTCACTTTATTATTGATACTTAGTTTGAACATCCCATCACAAGAATATCCCTTCCCAACAAACATCCCATTTTTCGACATTATTAACTTGTCGGACTCTAGAACAGTCTTTATACCGTTCTTACATAATAAATTTGCAGACACAAGATTCTTTCTAATTTCTGGAACATGCAGTACATTAAGCAACGTCAATTTCTTCCTAGAAGTAAATTGAAGTTCAACGGTTCCTTTTCCTAGAACTTTGGCGGAATTATGATTCCCCATTAAAACTTCTTGATTGTCCGTTGATACTTCATATGTCTTGAATTGTGCCTTGTCATTGCACACATGTATAGTAGTCCTTGAGTCGAGCCACCAATCGGAGGATTTTATTACCGCTGCCATATTCAGTTCGGTAATCATGCCAATATGCATCATTGATACAATTGCAACAATGTTATCAATTCCAGAGTTTTCCACCATATTTGCGCTATTGGTCTTCTTGGCATATTCCTCACTTGCTTTTCTGTGTCTACAATCACGAATGTAATGGCCTTTCTTTCCACAATGGTAACATACACCATTTGCATTCTTTTGATTGTTGTTGGAATTGGTCTTCTTAAACTTCCCTTTGTCAATTTTGACTTTGAAGTTCTTTTTATATTTGTTTCCTTCGACAATGTGAACTTTAGAGAAATCTTGATTTGCAAAATTCTTATCACGATTTCGAGTTTCCTCTTCAATTTGAATACCCTTTTGCAAATTCTCCAAACTAATATCTTCCACCATGTGTAGAAGTTTCTTTCTATAGTTATTCCATGTTTTGGGTAATTTTGCCATAATAGCTCCAACTATCATAGGATCCGGAATAACTATTTTAAGTTCACGAAGCTTTGAGACCAAGACCAATAATTCATGAACTTGGTCTAGGATGGGTTTGTTATCAAACATAGTGAATTCATAATATTTGAACATTAAAAATTTATCGGTACCTCTTTTTTCCGTTGTGTACTTGTGTTCAAGTGCTTCCCAAATTTCATTTGGAGATTGAATGTGTGCATACAGGTCATATAAACGATCAGATAATGTGCCCAAGATGTGTCCTCGACATACCAATTCATCTTCTTCACGCTTCTTTCGATCGGCAACTATATTGTCCGAGTCTTTGTCACTTGGTTCACGAATAGGCTCCAATTTCGGGTCCAACACATATATGACATTTAGAACAGTAAGCATGAAACTCATCTTGTCCTTCCATCGGGTGAAATTTGATCCATCAAATTTGTCTAACTTGTAGACATCTTGATTGATAATCTTCAAAGCCATGTTATCAGATTTGTTATCCATGATGAAAATAACACTTTAAGATTGTTAGAGTAAATGTAGAATTATGGAGAATAATCCGAATAATGACTTTGAGGTACGACTTGAATCGTTTCCTTAAAGTGTTATTTGCCCCCACTCGAATGAGTTTGCTAAAGGGTTCTTGGCAAATCACTTCCAGGATACAACAAAGTATGGAATATTCGATTAGCAAAACCGAATTATATTCCCTTAGAAATAACTAAAAAGAAATTGTATGAATGTGATGTTGAGAGAAAAGAGAACAAAGAAATTATGTAGATAACTAATTTCTGAATAATTGTGTATGAAACATTATACCACAACATGTATTTATAGACATCAAAGTACCCGTTCATCGAGCCATTTCATTTTAGTTGAAGACACACAACTCTTCTTAATAGTGTGTTGACCCAAAAGACATGTGTTCTATTTAGAATTTTCAGAAAATAAATATTGACTAATTATATCCTTTAATTCTACTCATACAATTTGAGTAAACATCATATCTTTTAACCAAAAGTTGTAATTCAACCAAAAGGTACAAGGTTGAATTAAATCCAACCTTTCAATACATGTTGCCGCATGCATGTTGCGGATGGCAGCAGCACTAGGTCATATATATTTATATATTTATATATTCATAAATATTATATATTAATATATATATATATATATATTAATAATAATAATTATTATTATTATTGAAATCTCTAACAAGAAGGAATTGGAGATAGCTTGTGATGGAAATTTCAGATGAAATGAAAGTTCAAAGAGACACAGAGACAACAAGCGCCTACAAAGGCAAAAGAGCAAACGCTTTCCCATTTTACAACTTTTTTACACGTATGCGGGATTGATATCTTTAACGCATTCTCTTATGTAGACTACACAAATCGGGTGACGTGAATAACATGTGGCTGTTAGGTTTCACAAACGGGACAACTTACTCTGATACCATGAGAAATTCAATTGGCAGTATGACGAATAATTCAATTTACTTATAAGCATAAGCAAGACCCATCATTTTCCGATATGAGATTGATCCTCTTAACAATGTCTACATCCTAAAAATCGCTTACAGCCGAAAGTGCTATTACTGGTTTGGTACTGAGGTGCTTTTATAAAAAGTGAGTACCAAAAAAAGCTAAGCTCAAAAAGATGTTTGATAAACACTTAAAAACATCTTATTTTCACAGTTCTTGGTGAAAAAAAAACTAAAAACGTGAAGCAGCAAAAATGAGTTTATTCTCACATCACAGCAGAAACAGTTTTTTTTTCAAAGCACAAACCAGCCCCTAGTCTAGTCATCTACTCATTTTTGTCACGTCTGAGTGAAATTTGAAGTGCAATGTAACTAATCATTTTAACCACCAATTTCTTGGATTAATATACAAAGCAAACAAAGCAAACATGCATGATGCTGTTAAATGCATTTGTGGTTATCCAATTGTTGCGATGCCGGCAGTATGCATTGGTCCGGCGATCGAGAAGACTGATAAATGTAAAAGCAGTTAACCGTATTAGAGAAAAACTGCCACGAATAAAGAAAACAACTGCAATGAGTAATATGCACACAGATTGTAGGAGCTCAAAAATGAATTATAGAATTTGCTTTACGGATATCAAGGATGGTGATGATGATTAGTGATTATAAGCATGATTACGCAAAATTCCAAGTGCATGGTCAAATTAATGATTAAAGCATGTGGGGGTGGCTACAATGTTTGATTAAAACTTGCCAAATTTTTCACAAATCGGCATCACCGAAAGTTGCATAGTGGTTTGATCTTTAAAGTGTGGAGAAATTTTTCAATGTGCCGCAGACACGATCTGATACATCAAGTGTTATATTACAAATGATCGAAATATTATTTTTCAAGTATCCAATTACTTGTATTATGACATTTGGTATTTCGGATCCGACACACCGAATTTTTTTTTCTGAAGTGTGGGCATGCTTGTTGATTGTAGGTTAAGTTTGAGATCCACTTTCTTACGCTCATCAAAATTTTAAGTTCACTACAGAATTGGCAATCATTGAGGATATAGGTGGTCTTTATTAAAAAATAAATAAAAATTACGCACGCTTTTTTCTCTTTCCGAACATCACTTGCTTTGTGATATGATTGAAGGGATTTGGATTATCTTCGAGGTAACTGGTCGGGATTCTTCTGATTAGTGTTCGTGGACCGTTGAATTTTTATTCAACAGCTACAAACATGAATGTTCTCTAAAAGTTATAATAATTATAACCGTTGAATAAAAATCTAACGATCCACGAACACTGATCAAGAAGATCCCGACCAGTTGTCTCGTAGAGGATCCAAATCCTGATTAAAGACCAACAAGTCTTGAATTTGACTGACTCCAAATAAATCAGCTCATAAGAAATAAAAGAAAGGAAGAGGTTTTAGCTAGCTAGCTAGCACGAAGGGCTTCTTGAAAAGCAAATATGAGTTTTCTAAATATGAAATTAACTATAATTAACAAATATCACACAATGAGTGAAATGAAAATACTACCCTAGTGAGATTTTTCGACTTGAAAAACCTAACATATCACTTAATTGACCAACTAAATTTTTTATGTCTCGATCACTAGTTATATGTCGTTATCAATTTACACATGTTATATATTTTATATAAATTCCTCGTCCCACCCGTACTGTAACTGAACTTTTGAAGTAAAAAAAAAAAAAGGTTAAAAAGTAAACCGGTGGTAATTATTTAAGTGTACTATCTCTTGTATAAATAGAGAGCGGAGCCTAAGCCAAATGCACCACTCAACCAAAGTTAATAATTTAGACATTCTTGTTAGAGTCGAGTCGAGTGAGGATGAAGGCATCATATTCTTCCTACATTGCAATTGCATTGTGCACTGTGTTGGTGCTGCTGCTGGCCGCAGCGCCGGTGTCAACGGCGGTAACATGCAACGCCATTCAACTTAGCCCCTGCGCCGGAGCAATCACCTCTTCAACTCCACCGTCGACATTATGCTGCAGCAAGATCAAGGAACAGAAGCCCTGCCTCTGCCAGTACCTCAAGAACCCTAACCTCAAGAAGCTTGTCAACACCCCAAATGCGAGGAAAGTTGCCAGCACCTGTGGCACTCCCTTCCCTAAGTGCTAGAATCTATGATGCATCATGCAGCCTCACACCTTGAGCCCTATATATATATGTATGTTATATTTCTATGTTCGACATGGATATGTGATGCTTCTTGCTCATTTATTCCATGTTTAATGAAGATTAGAAGGAGTTAACTTATGCTTAATTAATTTGGTGTGTTCTATTTTATGTATCTATATCTATGATGTACTTTCGGTGTGTGGTTTTATCAATAGTAGTGATTGTAAAGTGCTACTTATATATATGATGAGAATTGGTATTGGATACGAGCTTAGATTGCTTCTGTACGAACTACTTTTTGCTCATAAGCACTTCTACTAAAAGAACTTTCATTAAGAAGCAACGCTTCCAAGTTAGAGGCACTTTTGGTTGCTTCTCCAGAATGTGCGTAAGAACTTCTAACTTTTTCTGCCAAATGCAGTTAGAAGCGTTTTTGGTTGTCAGAAAGCACTTCTAACAAATTTTAAGAGAAGCTAATTTCTAGTGAAATTAGTTCAATTAGATTTGAAACCATTGGAAATGAATCAAACACCATGCAAAGTGTGCATTGTGCTCAATAGTCACACTTGACAACACAGACAATGAAAGCTTGAAAAATCATTTACATATACATTATTTCAAAGAATGTAAATTACTTGCAACAAAAATGTACTTTCTCACAAATTGAGAAGGTTGGAAATCTGGTTCCAGCCCATCATCCATGGCCTCCTATCAGATGGGAGCACAAAATTGAGCTCAAACATCTCTCTCGACAGGTTTCCACTTTCGCAGAAGCCAACAAGCTTTGCAACTACTTCAGCACTCTCCTGGATGTGCCTGGGATCATGGGGATCTTGCCAAAGCTTGTTCACAAACTGCAGCTTCCTGTGCTTTCCTTCAAGCGGGACATCCCATTTCATGTACAATGCATCTCTCTCCTCTGCTGTCAAGCGTGAAGACAACCTCTTCGCAAGGAACTCTCTTTCGCGCTTTAGCGCTCTCATGCTGCATATCGGAAGTTTATTAGGAATATTTAACTAAAAGGAATGATTTCAACTAGTTACTTGAAAAGAGAAGAAAAGGAACCTTGATGACAACGAAACTCTGGGTTCGTCTCCCACATGAGCAGGGCTAGCATCCCCAAGTTCTGCGAGATGCTGTTGCAGCCATGTCAACCGTCTAAGCTCCACTTCCATGTAGATTTGATCAGCTGGGTCACCTTTAAACAACAAATAAAATTGTGTCCTATGAATGATGGAGACAAAGCACAAATCCCATAACTCAATGATCTGCTGTCTTTGTTCCTTGAAAGTTATTTGCCACGAGACTTGGGGCTCCTCAGTCTCACATGTGTCCTCGTCATTCTCTAAATTGTACCCGGCAGCTTCATTTGCTTCCAGCTCCAGAACCTGAGGGTGTAACCAATTAAAACGAAATGAGATTTCTTCACAAGGATAAATAGAATATAGAACATGCATGTAAGTTCTGTTAGATAGTAGAAAGAATGCATTTTCATACCTGGCAAACTAGTAGCTGCTTTTGGTACTGCAGTTTGGCCACCCGCTCTTTCAGTTCCGTTACATATGTTCTAATGTTTCTTACGTTCTCTTCTGCTGCATTTTGGAACATCTTCTGCATTTTCTTCATGTTTACTGAACTAGAACGCCGATAACCTGTTGGAGTGCTTTCCTTTGATGAGACATCTCCACATTCTTCATTCTTTGTCGGAGTCCCCTTCTCAGACTCTGGTTGAATCTCACCGGACACAATATCATCATTCTCAGGAGCCCTATTTTCAGTTTCAGATTCTGCAATTTGCCGAGAAGCTGATAGAGGTGAGCAAGGTGATCTGATGAAATTTTGTCGGTTGGCAATGTTACTTGAGGCCAAAGGTAGACACTTCTTCTTTTTGGACTCCTTCTTAGGCTTGGAGGATGCCTCAATATTACACTCTTGATAATTGCTAGGAAGAGACATCACCAATTTATCTATTGACTTCTGAACACTTTCTAGCTGTTCCTCGAGATTTTCAATCGTGCTGCCCTGTGAATGAAGTCTCGTAATCTCTTCCTTGAGATTAGCACTTACACTCTTGTTAGTAGCAACTACAGTTCCAAGTTCAACTTCTTTTGGCACTGATCTGACAGAACGCATTTCTCTTATTTCCGCTTGCAGATTGGCAATTGTTTCAGCTGCATCTTGGTTGCCTAGCCTATGACAAGCCACCTCCTTTTGTAATACTTCCAGAGCTCGATTTGCTTCTTCCCCAAGCTGTTCTTGCAGGTGTTCAAGTTTGCGGATTTCATGCATTAGTGTGAAAGGAGCAGTTGATGATTGCCTCATAGACTGCCTCAAATTTCTTGCTCTATCACCAGGGCCTATATCCTTTTTGTCGGGTTTTGTTGATAGAACACCGGTGTATGAGAGACATTTCTTCACAGAGGGATGGGGTATTCCAGAAGGGTTTGAACCCTGAAGTTGATATGTAATAACAATATATGAGTAAAATGAATACAAATTTAGAGAGAGAGAGAGAGAGAGAGAATTGGAAATAGACCTGTGGATCCTCCTGAAGTTTTTGCTGTAATTCAAGCACCTGAGACTGAGCACGATCTCTTTGGCGTCTCAATTCTTCAATCTCCATTTCCATCTAGTGATGGCCAAACAATTTCAAACATTTTATATATACATTTCCAAGCACATGAAATGAAATCTAGCAAGACAAGTATGTCAGTGTACCTGCTGAATTTTCAATTCTTTTTCCCTTAATGGGTCAGGGGTGCGCAGCTCTGCTTCCAGCCTCGCTACTTCCTTCTGCAAATGTTTCACTAGCTGTTTGTCCGAAACAACCTAGCAAAATGATTATATACACAAGTAAGGTAACTAAAATGTCTATTGTAATTATGTGTAATTATGTACAGGTGCAAACTGAAATATGTTACAAGAAAATTAACAATACCATATTCACACGAGCGTTATTTGTTACTTCCTTTGCCCTGGTGGCAAAGAAGAGCGTATTGCGAGATTGTTCAAAATGGCTCAATGCCGGACTCAAGGTGCATATGATGGCTGTGCGTGCATTCCCACCTAGAGAATGCTGCAATATGCGAGTGAGCTTTGAGTCTCGATAAGGTATATGACCACTTCTTTTCCCACTGCTGCAAATCAAACCAGTTCACATAGGTAAGAAAGAAAACTAACTAATCCTTCAAGATAAAAATGTATGCAAATATAGATTCTGACCTGAGCTTTCTAATGACAGTTGTGAGTGTCATCAAGCTAAGGTTGATGTGGCAACCTTCCCTGAGCCTAGCACCATCTGCAAGTGATTGTGAAGCTCTTTCGCTTCCAGCCAGATCGACAAAGTTCTGCACATCATTGGCATTCACACTTGTTAACCCTGACGTAAAATTGAAGCAAGGATTTTCAGAAAAGTATTTTATTCCTTTCTTACCAGGCTTGCCACGAAAGATCTCACGCAATCTGAATTCTCACGGAGTGTACTTTCAATTGTCTGTAAGGAGAGAAAATGTTATTTACAATGTCTCGGTTGTGAGGGAAAGGGAAAAACCATCACTAACTAGCATCAAAGATCTATGATGAACTGACCAGTCTTATTATCTGATGAGACCGGGAGCTGTTATCATTTAAAGCAGTTTCACCAACTTGTCTTTGGGCTTCACAAATGCTGATTAAATGTCTCAAATGCTGATCATTGCTTGCAGTTTCCTCCACCAGCTTCTCAACCACGGTACCTTTCTACATTAGGAAAATACAGAACATGAGTGAATGTCAAAGAACAAGTGACGGTAACGAGTATAGGCTAAGGCTTATTGCCACACCACCTCTGGATCATCTAGAAGCTTCAAACTACGACCTGATTCAGAATTTAGCAGGTCCCTCACATTCTCGTTGTATATTTCAAGTCCAGAGATTTTTATTGTAAAGTCTCTCTCCGGAGTCTGCAACCAAACAATCCGAGTACATTAGTTTCAAAGCAACAATCTTCACTATAACTTTCATAATTGTTATTAGTTTGTGATGATTAAACTTACATTGATTATATGATTGTAGATATCAATGACGGCTTTCTCTGTTATCCCTCTCATTGTGTATGTCTTCCCACTGCTCGTTTGCCCATAAGCGAATATAGTTGCTGCAGTGCCAAAGAAAATAAATCAATTGTTGAAAGGCGACATGAGGATCGAAAAAGAAGGGACATGAGTCTAAGGATAAGCCACTACCATTGATGCCCATCAAAGAAGACAAGGCGACATTTTTCACTCCTTCCTCATATACTGCTTCCGTTAAGGAAGTAGGACCAAAAACTTTATCTGCATACAGAAGAAACCAATCAACCAATTATTTAATGCGAACCATCACAGCTGAGAAAACTACAAAGAAGACACATAGGCAGAGGTTTTCCCATACCAAATGTGAATGGGGCAGGTTGAACTGAGCGTTCTTGAGGCGGGGGCTTATAAACAATCGTGTTGTCATCGAGGCATTCCCACGCAACTTGGTCTTTTGCTAGTTGCTCTCTTTTGTTTAGAGGCCTTAATCGCACCGTGACAACAATCTTCTCCTCCTTAGCTCTTGGCCCGCCCGGAGTTGAGACTGGTGTCCTGTCTATTTTTGAAGCCGGTGTTGATACTGGTGTCCTGTCTACTTTTGAAGCCGGTGTTCCAGGAGTTTTGACAGTCATTGTTTCTCGAATCTAGCAGATCAAACGAGCTTGAAGAACACCAACACCAAATCTCGGGCCTTTCCCAGGAAAGCCCTCTCTGTTAAAACCAATCATGGATTACAGAAAGCAATTGAACTAAACGAAAACCTCAGAATTTAGTACAATCTCAGATCTGAAACCCTCTCTAGTTCAAACATTTACCCCTGAAATCTACACTTTAAATCTAAGCTTATGATAAGCAGCTGAATCTAACAGGATAATCTTCCAACTAACACACAATTTAACCTAGAGAAATTCACTGCAACAAATATTCCGAAAACCGATTAGCTCCCAATCCAAAAAGATTTTTCATCAGAAAATTGAAAAATCATCCAACTTGTTCGTGTTTCTAAGATGAATTCAACTTCAACAGTTGGGGAAGGGGAAATTAGAACATTTTTACAAAATAAAAAGGAAAAAAAATGAAAACTTCCCTAATTAGTAATCATGTTAAGAATCAATTTGTTTCCAATTAAAGATTGGGTACATCGAATTTCCAATAAGCATCATAATCTGCATATATGGAAAGTGAAAATCAGTAAACATTAGTTTAAGAAACGGAAACTCAC